TCATGTAGGCTTCTTCCTGGTCTTAAGTGGCCAATTAGGAAAAATGGCTTTGAACACCAAGTTTCCCACGAAGGGTGCAAAGCATAATTCACACCTGGGAAGATGCAGACAATGGGCACCTCTGGTATGTGATGGGCGAAGATGCCTTTCCTGAGACAGTGCAGGTGTGTCAATTACTGATACTAGCCGTCAGGGCGACAGGAGGCCCTGAGTCGTCAGCTAGCCCATTTACTGTCTGGTTTCTGTTTATGGTAGAGTCAGGGACAGGCACCACACCTGCGTTCCCAGGGCATCAAAGGCTGACTGCCTTTCTCTTGCTCTCTGGAGGGGGGGGGGGAACAAGATGGGGTTCGTGTAAAACAAAATGGGGTTTGTGTCTGGCTACACCACCTAAAAAGCTTATTAGCGTCCACATTGCTTCTTTGTGTAGATACAAACATGCATTTCTAATAAGTGTCCCATTCACTGGAGCAAGAGACTTTTCCTCTAGCAGTACTCATGGGGACAGCACTAGTGTCTATGGATACTGTTAAGGCAAAAACCTCCAATGACTGTGTGCGCACAAGAGTGGAATATACATAAGCAACATACCTGGAAGAATAATTGCAAAAGGTAGGTGATCAATTTTTTGAGGGTGGCAGTCTTTAGCCATTACCAAAATGTTCAGAAACCTAGAATTAGTAGCCTCTATATTACATTATGAATCCTATAAGCCAGGGATCAAAGTCCTATTAATTATTGGTAAATTAAATGTATGATCTAACTTACAGCCTACGATAAGTCCTAGGATATGTAATTAGACACAAAAATAACTGATGCTTATATGAGGTTTCCTTAAGTGGTGGAAGGTAGCATAACCAGTTTTGATAGCATTCATTTGCAGAACTGGAGCAAATATATCTGTTCCTTCATAGTCAAGAGTCTGGAGGCCTATTTTTTGTACTGCTCAGTTTTTTTCTTTTAATTACACAAAGATTAAGTAAATTATGTACAGTTGTTCTCCTAGTTGTCTAAAGTGAATCATCTCCCAGTTTTTCTGCTGAAAATAAAGGAAAATGTTAAAATTTTTGTGTTACTAGATGAAAGGCATATAGCATGGGCCACTTTTGACCCGTCTCACTTGAGATGGGTTAACTTTGCTTCTAGCCTCACATATCCTATAAGGAAGTTTCAGGGGATGGTTGAGTTAGTCTGTACAGGATAAACTTAAAAAACAACAAATGGTCTGCTACCTGTAAGGAGTTATTTAACAGTGAATACACTGTTCTTTGACCAGATTAAAACAAATCACCTTTGCATAGCTAAGCTAGATAATTGGCTTTTCAGGAGGGAAGAGAGTAGGTTTTGCCACCTGGCATCCTTTGCTTTGGGGAAATGGATATACCCCAGTAACTAAGGAATGCTGAACAGGTTACTGTGGTCATCAGTCCAACAAGCTTGTCACTTTTGACTTTATGTTGACATTTCCATATAGAAATATGCTGTCATCATAGATGAGCTGAAAATGAAGTGTGGCCTTTTACTTACCTTTGAGTAGAAAATAATTGCTTTTGTTAAATTCCCTTTTACAAAAGTGGGAGGAACATTTTAAAAATGTACACCTGTGAATTGATTGTGCAACTATTAGAATCAAGTGAATTTACACATAGGTTACTTTGCAGTCTTGTCCAGTTTTTAGTCATTTACAAAATTTTGTTCTAAAATTTTGTAAAAAGCAAACCTAAAAGATTGTGTTTAGTTCCCCAAATCATTAACTGTGTCCATATCTGAAAATGTCATATACATTTAAATATGAAATATTAAAATAAGTTCAATTGCCACCTAACTATCAGAGTGTTCTTTTTGCAGCTGAGTGGATTTTTTGGCAAATTGAGTAATTAATTCTCATAGTTTATAAACTGGACAAAATCTGTTAATTGTTTTTAATGTTTACAAAAGCATTAGTTCATCTTCACAGTGCCTGTGGATATTTTTCAGTTTTCTCTAGAGGCTGCATGTTGTTAATGGGATCTCCTATTGGCTCTTAGTTCCTTTCCAAATAGAATTTTACAGTAACTTATACTGTTACCTACTTACTCCATTTTAATTTTTCACTGTTGAAAATCTGTTGCCTATCTTCTGTGTCTCTGCCAGACTTGAAGTGATCGAGCTGTTCTATGTGACATCCATAAACTATGTTCTCCTTTACCCTGGACTTTTCCTTTGTGATACTAAGTGTAAATTTTACAGTGCTCCTTATTCATTCCTCCCTAACTATAGTTTCCATAAGTCTGAGGGGGTAGCTGTGTTAGTCTGTAACTAAAAAAAAAAAAAACTTGAACAGCAGTGGTCCTGTTAGATCATGATACTAAGTTAGTCTCTGAGGGTATGTCTAGACTACATGCCTCTGCCGACAGAAGCATGTAAACTAGTCTACCCAACATAGTCAAAGAAGCCGGGATTTAAATATCCCCGGCTTCATTAAAATAAAAATGGCCGCTGTGCCGGCTCAGCGGATTGGTTGACAGGGGGAGCCTTTGTCTACCGCTCCTGTAAACCTCATTTCACAAGGGGTGGGTGTGTGTGTGTGTGTGTGTGTGTGTGTGTTTAAAATTTTTAAAGCCTCCTCGAATATTTTAAATAGAGAGGCGGGGTAAAAATATTTTAAATAATATCCTAAACTGCAGTCATAATTACATTACCAAAAGTCTTGGATGCATACGTACATTATTACAGTTCTGGATTCTATTAGTGCAGAAGTGCTTACTTAATGTATATTTGTGGTTCTGTTTTTGTCTTTGCTTAGTGTAACTTTCCAAGTGGACCCCACTATTTTTAGCAGGAAAGCATGCAGTGTGACCTTTGAGCATTGTTGAAAATGGTTTGCTATAGTCTTCCATAAACCATGTAGTACTTTGAAATTGAAATCTCATATTCAGCTTTCCTACTTAAACAAAATATACATTTTTCATAGTTTCAACTGTTTCTATTGAAAATTATGCTATAAACAGTGGCATCTGTGTTACTGCTTTTAATAATGTGGTTTACGTTTTCACATACTTATATTACTGATAAAGCGGAGATTTGCCTCTGTTGTGCCCACAGCATTCAAGTAGCAATTCCTAAATATTTTTGTATGTCTAGGTTGGAAATTATAAACGTACAGTAAAGCGATTTGATGATGGTCACAGACTTTGCAGCGATCTCATGAACTGTATTCACGAACGTGCAAGAATAGAGAAGGTCTATGCTCAGCAGCTTACAGAATGGGCAAAAAGATGGAAACAACTTGTGGAAAAAGGTAACAAATGTCATGAGATTAAACTCTGAGAGGCTTAATTTTTGTTAAATGAAGACCATTATTCAAATGAAGTGACTCTTTCCTTGTTTGCTCAGAGGTTCTTAGGGATGTAGTACCAGAGAACTTAACTATTTGATATTACTTATCTGAAGTAGTAGAGGACACATGATATGAAGACTGCAATTTAAATGTTAAGAAGTCAGTGGCAGTTGTGATCGTATATCAACAAAGAAGGAATTATGAATCAATTTCAAAGAAGGGTGCTTTGACTGTGACAAAGTGTAGATCGTTTCAGAAGATCTGGGCAATCATGGTGGCTTACCAGAATGAGTGCTCAATGTAGGGCCAAAAGAGTAAATATGGTTTGTGTATATGAACAGAAGTTCATCAAATAGGCTATCAAGATTCTATAAAAATAGAGGTACATCAGGTGGGGAAATTACTATCTCAGAATTTGGCACTAGTGAGGCCACTAGTCGAGTACTGTTTTTTTTGGGGTTTTTTTTTCCCCCCCTTGGTGTTTATAGATCCACAGAAATTTGGAAAAAGTGGTGAAGGAGAATGATGGAGGGCTGAAAAAGAGAATGATGGAGGGCTGAAAACCATACTGTATAGGGAGACTTAAGGAACTCAATTATTTAGCTTATTTAAGAGATGATTAAGAGGGAAATTGGTGGTGGCCTATACCTAGCTGGGAAGAGAATATCTGATGATATAGAACTTTCTCGCAGTCAAAGATATAATAAGTTCCAGTAGTTGGCAGTTAAATCTTGAAACTGAAAACAAACTGTAATTTGTTAGAGGGTAGTTCTAAGGATGTTAAGACAGTTAATCAGTTAAACGATATTAACCGGTTAACCATTTTAGCTTAGGTCCTGCTACCCAGCCCACTGTGGCTGTGGAATCCTTCCAGAGTTCATCAGCAAGGGCCAATTATCCAATAAGCATACTCATAAGCCTCATGATAACTGGTAAGCATACCAGTAAACTGTTTAACATCTCTAGGTAATTTATCACAGGATGTGGTAGAATGTTCAGTTCTTTAAATTGAATTTAGCGTAGTTTTTAGACGGATACTTAACATTCAATTTCAATATTGGGTTTGATATAAAAATTAATGGTTTAAATGTTATGGCCTGTGTTATGCACATAGTTATACTACATAATGAAACTGGTTCTTTCTGGACTTAAAATCTATTAATCTGCAATTGCATAATTTGTCAGAAAATGGATTTAAGATGTAAAATATAAGGTAGGATTATGGATTATGTACAACTAAATACCATTTAAGAACTCTGTAGTAAGAGAAGTTCAGATGGCTTTTTAGGGATGAAAGTCCTGCGTGTTGTGGCTTATTGAAAATGATGTGTCCTGTTGTGTTTAGGTCCACAGTATGGAACAGTAGAAAAGGCTTGGTATGCAGTTATGTCAGAAGCAGAAAAAGTGAGCGAATTACATTTAGAGGTAAAAAATGCACTGATGAACGACGACTTTGAAAAGATCAAGAACTGGCAGAAGGAAGCCTTTCATAAGCAAATGATCGGAGGATTTAAGGAAACGAAAGAAGCAGACGATTTATATAGGAAGGCCCAGAAACCCTGGGCAAAAAAGCTAAAAGAGGTACATAATTAGAGGTTGTATATCAATATATTGATGCCACATAGAAATCACTGAAGTGGGAAAACTCAGTCTAGATCCTTTCTCATTCATTGTCTGCTTTAGATCTTTTTCTGAAGAAAAATCTTCTCTGGAGATTTTCTCAGTAACCACTGCCCTGTCTCCAACCTCAGTACCCTGAGCAAAGTTCTGGAGAGGGTGGAGTTAACCTATTTTTCTGTCTGCCTAGCAGTATCTGTTTGTACAGTTATAGGGTTGTGACTTAGCTGAGGCACAAGCTGCAGGAAAAATGTTCATGGAAAAAACATTGAGAGTCACTTTAATGTTGTGTCTATTTGAAGAAGGGTATGGGCGGGGACTCACAAGAGAGACAAACAAGCAAACCATTTTATTCAGAGCTTTTTGTGAGGCATCAGAAAATCTTTTTTCCCTCACTTTTATTAAGCTTCTCTGACTGATAGTAACTTATTTTCTATAGAAGGAGAATGTCCAATTATGTATATATAAAAATAGAATTCATCTTCTAGTGATTGCTCATGTTGATTCCATTCTAAGTGCATGCATCTATGTGGATAGTTGTCAGATTTTTGCTTTAGTTGAGCAGCTATAGCTCCTCAACTGCTGCACTCATACATTGATAGGTGAGGCATTACTGGCCCTACATTCTCAGTTCCGTCTCATCACCCACGCTAGTTGATTGGAATGCTTCTTTCCCTTGCATAGAAAGGGTTAGCAATGCTCTCTTCTGGCTTCGAGCCTTAGTGTCTTGTAAATAGTTGTACTATAGTTCATTAGTAAGTACTGCAAGCTGTATGCCCATGAACTTGCAGCCTGCCTCCAGGGATACTGCTTGAGTCACTAGACTAGAATCAACATGAGCAAGCACTCACATTAAAAGCTGTTACTTGCCTATCTTAACTACAGGCAGTCCCCGAGTTACGCGGATCCGACCTATGTCGGATCCGCAGTTACGAACGGGGATTTTCTCGTCCCAGAGGACTGGAGCGGCAGGACGCCTGGTCCCACCGCCCGCCTCCTCCGGGGCGAGAAAAGCTGCTCCCCGGCTTTGCTCCGGGTGCCCCTGGTCTGCTGGGGACCATCTCCAGCAGACCAGGGACACGGGGAGCAAAGCTGCAGTGGCGGCGGAGTCCCGCACCTCTGAGGCTTTGCCAGAGCAAAGCCTCAGAGGCGCGGAACCCCTCCGCCTCCCCAGCTTTGCTCCAGGTGTCCCCGGTCTGCTGGAGACGGTCCCCCGCCAAACAGGG